TGTGTAGGATTAGTATTATCGAAACTAACGCTTATGTTCCGTTCTTTTTGCTATGCTCATGAGGCTAGGGGCCTAAGGTATCGTTTTTCTGTGGTAATGGAGGCGGAGCTTTTTCCGTGGAAGATTCCTTCAAATGGTCCGCCCACCGTTCAATATCTTGTCTGCGTCGCTACGTTGATGTGCTATGCTCTCTTCTCTCGGAATTCTCTACCGCTCTCCGCGCTCACATTAACTCTCATCTCCCTGCCAGTCTTTTGAACTTCTTCACAGCTTACTCTTTTCTCCACGGTTGTCCACCGTTCCACCCCTACTTCACATTACATGTAACATCCCATCAATCCTATGCCCATCTTGCCCTTTAAATGGGATAGGTCTAGCATGAACCTGTCACGTTTACGCTTCCAACAACGTTTTCACGTATTACTCCACAACGCCAACAGTTGTGACAGTTTTACGACCGGAATTCAAAGTTTTTGATATCCTCCCTTTTGTTTGATCTAATATCAACTACGCATATTTTCGTCTTTTGAGCTGCACCCACGGAACAACTTGACCTCACTACCCTTTCTGGGTCACTTATTTGGTACCATGCACGTATGTGGAAGATAGAAGACAGACTTGCAATACAGTGCGTTTCATAATTATAAGGTCACCCTAAAATTTTGCATTCCCGAAACAAGCAGCGAACCCAGTAATTTCTCTAGTATTACCAACTGGTTCCTCACTATGCATGAAAAACTGCGATCGAATTGGCAGCTTATCCTTAACTCTTGTGTTAAAATTTTTCGTTTGTGTACGTTCCTAATTATAAGTCAACTTGTGAAAATACACATTATCAGAAACAACCAAATCACTGTGCAAAATGTAGATATTTGTACAAACACACCATTACCCAAATTTACGAATTGTTCATATTTGTCTAAACTTCTAATTAGATAAAGGATAAAAGGATAAAGCATTTGCCGTTGATCAATCCCGTTTTGGGATGCGGCACGCATTCTACTTCCATTTGTACATTCGCAGTGGCATTTGAATGCGATGTGGCCTATACAATGACTTGCGGGGGCCAGCCGATGTTCAAGTCAGTGTTTTTTATCCTCCCAGACAAGTCTGGTACCAATTAACCGACCCCGGAGGGATGGAAGGCTTGGTTGGCCCGGGCGACTCACGACCCAGGATTTGATCCCGGACCGCTCGCGTGGTGAGCGCGCCACTTGTCACTGCACCACTTCCGCCCTACAAAATATTATATAACTCGAAAATCATAAAAGTTCTCTACAAATAATTGAAAAGAGTTATGAGGCTGTCAGAAAACAGTATTTCAACCCCCTTTGAAATCAGCTCTGCGGCGTAATGTAATGTTTCTATCTTTAGTAAATATGAAACTTGGAGCGACGTTGAAAAGAGCGACCCAACATTGTAACAAAGCAGAAAAATAATCAATTTTCTGTTGGTCATTTCAAGCGGCACAACTTCACCCGTAAAAGTTGAACTTAGGGAGAGATAGAACAAGTTGAGGGGCGCGCAAATCGATCCACAGTGATATCGAGTAAGTGGCTATTTATTTCGGATAAAACTGCCGATTTAAACAGACAGTTCCTGCAGAAATAACCTTTAAGTAACTTGACGAGGGTCCATTCATTCAGCGTCTTGCCATTTTATCCTAAGAAATGTGAAGTGTGGGTCTATTTTGTGACGATGTTGTCGCAAAATCTTTCCACAAACGCATAATGACCAAAGATTAGCATAGAAGCTTTAAGCAGATGCCTCTCCTGATCTGATCAAGTCGGCTAAAGCAACGTATCAACCAGTGCAGTCCAAGCAGGCACAAACCAGAAGCAGCATTTCTACTCAACAATAAGCCGCCACTTGTCACTCACCGTTTCTAGCCCCTCGAAACCGGATAACTAACCAATAATTCCGAGTTTATTTATTATTATTTATTTATTATTTATTTATTCTTGGTCAATCACAGAAAGCGCATAACAGTAATCATCCAGGAACACATAATCATCCATTACAAGTTCTAGTATATTTCATCGTAGACTTCAGGGGCATTTCCTTATATATCATGGGGTATAAAACGCGGTACGTTAGGAACTTCAAAAGGTGGAAACAACAACCTCATGAAGCACGAAGAAAATTGAATGTCATTGCTTGAATCATCAATTCCAGTAGGCCACGGGGCTATGGTGCTGCCTTGATAAAGGGGTGAACATATAACAATTTATGCTTTTTTCCAAATTTTTCTTCTCCATTAATCTTAAGTAATTGTTCTTCTCCTCAGGGTACCTTATATTTATGAAACGGTGCAAAAATCGAAAAATAATTACAAAAAAGTTCGAAGAAAAGCTGCTCCCACCAAAATTGCGATACAGGGGTTATTCGTAGTGGGGAATCATTTGGTGATAGTGGAAAAATCACCAGTTGGCTGCTGGTTCCGGAAATGCAATATTTTAGGGTGACCTTATAATTATGAAACGCACTGTACTGGATGGCACGCCACGTGATTTTGCGGTAAGATCTCCTTCATCTGCAGGTACGACCCTGAGGGGAAGGCTAATTTGAGGCGTATTCTGAAAAGGGGCCCTCGGATCTGCGCCAGTGTTCCATTTCTGCTACTTTACCTTCTTCTCCTCTCGAGCATATAATGCTTCCAAGTTGAACCTTTAAGTTAAAAAGAGTTTTGAAATTTTAAACTAAGTCGATCCCCGAAATTTTGTGATGTCCCCAACAATACCCCTTTCAGCGGTTGATGCTCTCAATAATGTCGTCGAACCCGACTCGTCGTGACTCACTTTAGAATCCCGTCCCAATAATCCTAAAAATCTGTTGAGCGCTATATATAGCTGCCAAAATTTTCAAAAATTCCCCCAAATTTACGGAAAAATCCTCACTTTAACTTTACAAAAACCTCTTCTCTTCTAATCTTCCCATACCTCGCTAAGAACTCTTAAATGATTTCTCCGAGAATGACCCCCCTCTCTCTACAATCACAAACGGCTGCGTACCACATCTCAACAATTCCTGTTTAGATCACTACTGCACATAAATACTGTGATCTCTCCATGCACATACATGCGACGTCAGTACTCAATCAACACCGTATGCTACACATGGAATCAAAGTCTCGACTGTAGTCGCAGATGATTCCTTTCGGCACCTTTGTTGAAGAGGAGAAAACGAATCGTTATGCTAAGCTTCATTTGCAGGTGAATTATTTGACCTTTGCAAATGCCGCCGTGCCGTGAATGACAGAGCCGTTTTAAAGACTCTTCCTGGTTGATCCATTGTTCACTCTGGTTTTACCTTGCTGTCTTCTCTGTCGCTTGAATTCCCTGTTTTGTTGGTTAACATACTAAATTAACAACGTTTCTGCTAAAATTTGGGTGTATACACTGTAGCGTTGTTTTTCGGATCACGTTCCATGAGAAGTACGTGCATAGACCCAATCGCCTTCAAATTCAACCAAAATTCCGAGTAGAGGCTAGTACGTGGCGCATACTATAAAGAGACTAATCATCACAGAATGTTTTTCCTGAGTTCTTAATGAAGTTGAAAATGCAGATTAGGGACAGGCCACGCATGGAGAAGCTCACAAGCTCGATTCAGCTGCCATAAACTGAAAGCAAAACAGTAGCTCATAGGTGGGATTCGCGCCCTCCATGCTCGCTTCGACGACCGCCTTTCAAGCCTTTGGTTCTCGCACGAATGTGTTTATCTGAAGGCCGCCGACAAGTGCAGCGCAGGAAAAGAGAGGACGAATTCTTGTCAATTGTTTGCCATTTTTAACACGCAATATAATGATTTTTCACAAACAGGACCGGAGTTAAAGGCAGCGATTACGATAAAGTGAGAGCGCATCGCGGAAGCATATACACCACACGAATCAGTTACTTGGCTGCCAGGGAAGCGAGGTGTAGCGCTTTCACGACGCAAGGTTCGCTGGTTGCTGAGCAGGACTTCGAAAGCACTCCGCCCCCAAAAGCGATCCGCCCACTGGTTTAGTTGGTGATTTGGACGAGCTGCGTTGCCAGCAGCGGCACAACTAAAGCAACTCGACTGTAGCATGGATTGACATGCTGTCATTAAACGCTTTGCGCTGAATGGTTCACGACTGCCACTTTCTGACCTGTTCATGAGTGAAAACTAACGGCCAAAAAAAGGGTCCCGTTTTGCGTTTTCTTGACGAATTTCTCCACTTTTTTCGCTTCTGACCGTACCACTGAGCACCACCGAGTCTCCCATAAACCCTTCTTGAATCTATCGTAATCACTGCCTTCAAAATGAGTAATATGACAGATGCTTTTATCCCTCTGCTTGGAATGATCTCCTAGCGGAACCCTCCCTTCCTTTGTCCGAGTTACATGAAATTAAAATTGTACCATATGCAATCGTCACGCTTTGCTCTGGTCTCCAGCTTATCTGTTTGTAAAGCTGGGACCAGAGCAAACGTACACCGAAATCAGTTAGGCCACCTACAGCATTCGTTACGCCGCGTTAACACGAATAAAATGCACCCATTATCCGTGCTTCTCGGATTTTTTTGGTATTTTCCAAAAAATAGGTTCCTACTGTTCCTATACGATAGTTTCGTCACTGGTAATGGGGATAGTATTTTATGATCCAACGATAGGATCCTTATTCATAAAAAAAAAAACAAGGAAATCGAGCAAAACATGTCCACTCGCGCGTAATTCTGACGCGCATGCGCGTTATGCGCCAATTGTTAAATATTATCCAAAAGTTCCTAGGAGCTAGAATTCCACATATCTCATTTCGAGCCATGGATCTATACTTCACAGTATACCCGTATATCGTTGTATGGTTGGAATTGCATCGTGATTCTTTTCTAGTTCAACACAGTGCGGCACGAATTCTTCCCTGGTGTACCGCAACCAACTTAACGTAATAAGATCTCCTACCTCGTTTCGTTTCCCTAATTAATTTTTTTTAATGTCCAAAGATCGCAATGCAGTATTTGCGACGTAATGATCCTAATGTGTATTGGATGTGCTATCGAATATTCTTTCTCATGTTGGATAGGAATGCACTTCGCTCATTTGGCAACTGTTGTGGGCACCATATTTGCAGCTCAGGTAGCAATTCTTGTATAGGGAGTTTTCTTGAAGGATGTGTAATCCTCCACCGAATAAATCGGTTTTCTTCATCATAGCTTTTGAACAAGCAAACAAAACTAAACATTGAAGTCATTGGCAGTGCTCTCGTTGGTGCAATGATCTCTCTTCTGATCCTTTTCCCTCTCCCAGGCTCGCAGTATCTCCCTGAATCGCTGCATTACCCTTATATTTCTTCATGCCTAGAAAGGAGGGAATTGATTTCAGGCGTTGTCGGTAATTCCTTTCCTTTAGTTCAAAGCAAAATAACCAGTTGATCCGTAAGGTTTTGCCATGCGAGTTGCCAGACGAGCTCAGGTAGAAATTCAGGTAGGGTTGAGCGGAAAGGACTTTACGGTGGGCACCCTGTTCAAGCTCAGTTCAAACATCGCGCTGAATCGTGGCAAGTTCCATGACCCACCCCTATATCGTTTGGAACCTCCCACACCGCGGGCTAAGTCTAGTCAGCACGCATTACGCGTGATCACTCGTAGCATCAACCGCTCGCCTGGCGCGTTTCAGAGTTTTGCACGACACCTCCCCTCCCCCTCCCCCGCCTACCCAAGGGATCTTGCTTCGCCAAAGCCATCCTCCACTGTCTTCGCTAATATCACAACTATGTGAAGGACCCAAAAGGCAAAGGCAGCCCCCTGCCCCTCTATGAATAGGCATTGATTATCTTATCCTCTTGTCGAGAAACGTGAGAAAGAAACTTCTTGGCTTCGTTCTCTACACTGATGGTCGCTGGTTGCAGGGCATGCGATTCCATACATGAACATTTGGTTTCTGGAAAGAAATGAACTTTCGAAAACCACATTTTATAGCCAGTTCACAGACCCTTGAGTCGAACCAGCTGCGCATGAAACAAAGTTCGGGGTGGGAGGGTTACGGGGCAGTTGTCAACCAACAGGTGGGAGTTCATGCGGAAAAGCCATACTTTGTTCTTTTCTAAGACTGAACTTCGAATGAAAGAAGGAAAGCAGAGCTCGTGTACTAGTAGGCCTGTACGAGGGCGTCCAGACAACACTACAAAACACTGAATCGCCAAGGCTGGTTGACAGCGGTTCTTGAACGGAGTGGCTACGTATAATAAGGGAGTGGATTAGGTAGCTACGTATAATAGTAGTGAGTGAAGTTCAAAACCGCCTGAACTTCAAAACGGTCCACTTGTGGACAGCATTTTTTTGAGATGGCTTCACTACAAAGTAACTTTTCTAGCTGACAAAATCTCGTCTCGTGGTTCCACAAATTGTGGTGCTGGTTGTGGAAATTGGTCTCTATATTCTGGGCATATTTGCTTTAGCAGTTATCAGCGTCACTGGTGCTAGAGTGACTTGGATGGCATTGGTAACTGTGTTGTTCTTCGCCTTTTTCGCCAGGTAAGTCTCTTTCAGTAAACTGTTTTACGAATGGTACCACTTCATAGAAGACACCTTTAAGGGCAGTGATTTAGATGGCTGAAGGGCGTTCCGGTTCCGATGACGTCGTTGAACGCCATTGGTGGAAGGGCCTTAAAAGGCGGTCCCAGCCATACCCCCGCATGCTGAGAGGTCTAGCCTCCAATGACTTTCAACGATGTCATCAGAACCGCACTGCCCTCCAGCTATCGTGATACTGTCTTTAAACGAACAGCCTGTCTAATCTGGTCATGGTGGATTTTCTGGGATCGAAGCGAAGTCCTGGCTGGCAACACTCGTGGATCGCAAGCAAAATTCGCGAGCTGGGGTTGAGAACCTTGAACTTCCACAGTTTTTCGGCCGCTATAACTGCGCAGTCTGACTAGTATCAGTGGCAGTGCTAAATTTGCTCAATATTTGCAAAACGACTCCTTATCGCAACACCGACGAAAGGTGGTAAGGCGGGCCAAAGTGCTGATTGGCCGATTGCACATACGATCCTTTCAAAATGATTAGCAAGATACGAATGCAGGGCAATTCCCACTTGCAAGCCCCCATCCAAATTCCGATACGCATTTTGGACTCCTTTTTTCTCGGGTCGCAGATTTTGATTTGCAGTGCGCGTCTTTTCGGTAACGGCGCGCAAAAGAAGTTGAACTATTGCCTAAGCGATACGGGCCAAGAGCCTGAAAGGGTGGCTCCCATAGCCTCTGCCCGTACCCCCGCCCCACATATTGAGCGTACGTAGCGGGTGCCTCTCGATTGGATGCATACGATGACCTTACTCTGCCTCTTAATCTTAGGAAAGATTACCCAAAATAAGATCATCCAAGTTGCAAAATACTCACCTACACTCACGAGCCAAACGTTAGCTTATTGCCAACTTGAGGCTGTTCAGCCGCTGCTCAGCCAATTTCAATCGGTCTTTCAGTGTCCTGCAATATCACACTGAAGTTCGCAGTTGGATTTTTCATTATCGTATTACTTTTTTTAGCACAAATCTTGTTCTGCTCGTCGCCTTCCATCGCATCCTGGAAGAGAAAAACATTGCTCTGAAAGCCCTATTGGCCACGAAAAGCGTACACTTCAAGGAACGACAAGCCTTATGACAGTGACGAGCCTTTAATCTTCTCTTATATGTATTGTGCATTTTGTTTTGTTATGAATGAATTGACAAATTGTGTTTTTCCATGTTGATTAAGCAGCATTACTGCGGAAATAACTAAAGATAGGGTTCTTTGGAAATATGGTCCTGTCCAGTGTCGACAGAAACAAGGGTCAGCGCTTACAAGGAGCGCTCAAACCGCTGTTGTCTAACAACCACATGATACAGGAGACTGTAGCCTGCTCTGGGTGAAAACCCCTGGGACAGACGCGAATTAGTGATTTGTGCTGAGCCATGTGTCAGACTCGGCGACCAGTTGCATGAGATGATAGCGATTCGAGCGATTTATTGCAGTATCCGGAGGAGCCCCTTAGTGTCCAGGAGGAACCTGTGGACGTAAGGGTTTTTGTTAATAAGATTGGACCTGATCTGACCCTTTTGGACATTCACAAGCTTCTTTGGGGCACCGAACGCTAGCGAATCGCACGGATCGTTAACTATTGGTCGCAAAGTATGACACCCGCCTTGTGCAGTACTTGCACTGAAACTTCAAAGCCGCGAATTCGTTGCGCCACCCCACGCCTACACTGCCAGTTATGTAACCAGCCAACAGAAAGAAAGTGTTTCACATTTGCTCTCGAAATCTTCTCTTTCATATTTTATTTTCCAAAATAAGGCTGGGTCATAAAAATGGAAAGTGTAATTTGATAATGCGTGTTTTATTCATCCTCTATTCGACTATTCTGCGTGCCAGTCTTTCCTTAGCGAAGCATGCTTATGGTTAGCTCACTAACTGGCAGGGTTACGTTTGCACTTTTTCAGAAATTTTGCGACCCCCACCACCACCACCATCAGTCTTGGAAGGCTCTCTCAATACGATCCCCTTCCCCTTCTCTGACCACCACCCTCACCAGTATTTGATTCTGAGGGAAGTTTACACAGCCCAACTCCGTCCACCTTTTTCTCCAAAACGGACGTCGAGCGGGCGGGGGATGGGAGGGATGGTGGGTAGGGGAGAGGGGGCGATAAATTGGTATCGTTAAGCGGCAAATCCACCAACTTGCCCGACTTCTCAGTACTTTATTAAAACTTTCACCAAAAGCTTCAAAGAAAACCTTCCAAACACAACCCCCTTTAACGACCTCCGTCAACCTCCGTTACGTTAATACGTTAACCTTGCTCAACCCCAAAATGCGACCCCCTTTCCGAAACTATAGATGCAACCCCCTCGTTCGAATAGAGCGAACGGACGATTGGAGCTGCTCATTAGTCCCCTCCGTGGTAAAAGAAAACTTGCTTTGCTTTTTAGATACGTTCGGATATAGCTGGGGCATTCTGAGGTCGAAGTGAAGTATAGAATCAAGAACGCGATGGATAGCATGAAGCCCACGTACGAGAAATTTGAAATATGGCGCCACAGAACCCGTCGTTTACCGCTGCTACTTGGCGCGATTTTTCAGACGGTCTGCGTCTTGGAGATAAGTCTGTTTTCCACCGTTGCGAAATCCTCCATCTGTTTTCTGCTCCTGTGACAATCGATCTTGTCAGACAACCAAATATGAGAATTTTGGTTGAAACTTGAGTTCAGAGGGGGGGGCACGCGATGGCGCGACATTCTGTTCGTCTGCCCCCTCCTGAGCATTGTCACAGGTTCAGCTTCCATTTCGCCAGTGCTCCAGTGCAGTTTCGAAATACGCGCCATCGGTGACTAAGCCATGGAGGAGCGGACGAAAACAATGCCGCGCTATCGCGTGCCCCCCCCCCCTGAAAATGAGTTTCGTCGATCCTTGTTTCTGTATCCTTTTTTATCACTGTTTCGATTCGCATTCGCGATACGCAAATCACTGCACCATTCAAGTATTTCCATTGACATGAAACTAATTTGTGCTATTTGCGTAGATCGAAGACTTCCCTGGCCCTTGAAGGACGAATCACGATAAAAGCAAGCTGTGTAAGGCGTGGTCGCAGTGGTCTTTGAGAGAGAGAGAGAGAGACGACCGAGTACAGCCAACTCGATTTATTTGGCCGTATATACCGAGAAGAGTGCCAATTGAGCGGGGACCGGTCCTGCGCCTCGCAAACTTTGTGAGCGGCGCGGGAAGGGGTCATGCGCCAATCGAAAAGCCAACCCATTTCAAATTAACCTAGGGATGGTGAGTGGTACACGAAAGAAGGAAGAACCATGAGAAACGGCCCAGAACCCGAGAAATGGTACCCCCTTCCTTGCCCGTTGATTCGAGCATTGATGCGACTCTCATCGCTGTGCCCTCTTCAACACTACGCTCTCTCAGCTATCTAATCACTCGCCACGTATTGAACTACGGCGAGTGATCAGATGATCGGTGGGCGGAGATCGCCGAACCCGCCAGCTTTGAGGCATGATAGGTCGCCGAGGTCAAATTTTTCCATGCGAATTGCGCGTCAGTTCGCACCCTCAGGAGGTCCGTGGGTCCCTCAACTAGGTCAGTTTCCCTTTCTCGACCTTCATTCCAATCGTGAGTTCCTCCTTTAATCACGAGAGGTATGAATGATGCGTTATTTTGTTGAAAATTAGGCAAGGGTGCAATGAGGAACATTAGTGAGGAGAAAAAGCAAAAAGCACCATAGAAAACACTAAATTTTCCCTTAGGAGGCCGGCCGTGGTATGACGGAGAGACAGCGCTGCGAGGAGAGGGAAACGCGAGATAGTACGTCTACGCGAGAGAGCGCAGAGACCACGTATGCCGTGGTTGATAAGGATGGCAGCACGGCAGCACAAGGCAAGGCCTTAGCGCCGTTGCCTCGCACTTTTGAGTCGCGACAGTGTCGTGCCTCCTGCCCTTGGGGACCCCTCTTTCTCACTCTAGAAGGGACTGGCTCTTGGGACCTAATCCCGACTCGTGGCTTCAAGAGGGCTAAGAGGACCGTCTGGACAAAAAATCTGAGAGCAATTAATGAATCCTTCTGTAAATCCTTCCTTTTATTGACATTAGCTCTCGCCAGCGTACTAATGATCGCCGGACGCAGCTAGCCCCACGGTGGCTGGATGACCCAGACCGGTATAATTACAACACAACGGAGGATCAAAACAGCTTTTCTTTAAATTGAGGCTGAGGGTCAACGGCACGGCGTGCTGGATTGAAAACCTATTTGAGAGGCATTTTGTAAGTTCCCTATCACCACCACAAGCCTTGAAGGGGTCCCTCATTACCACCCTCATCACCATGGCTGTTTCTAGAGTTGGTCCTTTTACTGGGTGACACACTCCAACTCTGCCCAAAATTTTTCCTACAAAACTACCGTCGAGTGGAGGTTATGCATGACTGCTGAGACGGCAATGCTTAAATTGCGTCCATTTCAATTAAAAGCGCGAC